TTCATTTTAAAATATCTGCACAAATAAGTTAGATGGATCTTCTTTACATCAATTGACGTGCGAACTGCTTTTAATTATGAGACAAATAAGATCAACCCCATCCGTTACAGACCACATACGCGTTGATTGCACGCTGCAAGTCATATCTTGTCGAAATCGCTAATCTCCGTACCTTTTACTTTATTTTCCCGAAGCATTTGCTTGCAATGAAGAGGTAGAGATTATGAATACGAGTTAGAGCAAAATCTTTTACTTCTACCTTTTGCTTGTACCTTTTACTTCAAAGTAAATGCTTCATTTTTATAAATACGGGCTATTGACTGAACTTGACTCCACTCTGCTCTACTCTACTCTACTCTGCTTGCCTCTCCCGGCCGTCGAGGTGTACAGTCCGCATCTTTGGGTTAAGTAGATTCCGGTGAGCCACATAGCCGCATTCCAGAGTCTTTGAGGTCACTCGCGTCGATCTAGAGGGCGAGTCACTGGTACGGCCCTCAATAGATGTGGCCAAGCGGCATGTGCGGTCGTGATATACGTAAAAACAGATGTCAGCTATGAAGATCTGGCAAGTAGTAGAGTCTCGCAATAGATGGCGCCAACAGTAATATTCATTCTTGTTATACTACGTATGAAAATTGCCCCCGAAGGCATCCAAATCTAGATTATTCTAAATTAGGATATACAGCAGACGCTCGATAACGTAAACACGGGATAATGAAAACTTGCGCTAATGTAAACACAAACTTCGTTCTATATGATCAAACGGAACGCGCGATAACGTAAACAATGTGTACGCTCGATAACGTAAACAACTCTCGGCGCACGGAAACAGCGCGACGGTAAAATGCTGAAGCCTCGATGATTTATGTCGGGCGTCGGGGAGTCCCCGATTTATGATGTAGAGTGTAGGGGATTCACCTCTGCGATAAAATACGACAAACTCGGTCAGTAGTATGATCGTTTAGGATACGTTTATACGTACGTATGTATTTCATTTTTGATCTCAAGTGAATACATTGCACGCGTTAATATATTTTACGACTATGGCATCCACATCCTATAAAAGAAAGTGTTTAAAGTTGAGTGAGAAAGTGAAAATCATAGACGAAGTTGCACTAGGTGCGGGAGTGACCCAGTTAGCCGAAAAATATGGAGTATCGAAAGCAACAATCTGTAAAATTAAGCGTATGAAAACTCAAATTTTACAAAGAACGTGCAATACATTTGGAGGTCCGGGAAAAAGAAACACTTTAAAAAATGCGGAGGCACCTAAAATGGAAAATTCTCTGTATAAGTGGTTTTTATAACAACAGGAAAATCATGTCCCAGTTAGTGGCGAAGTACTTAAACAGAGAGCGAGACTGTTAAATGCAAAACTGAAAATTTCGTAGCTAGTGATGGCTGGCTACAACGATTCAAAACAAGATATGGAATTCGACTGCTGTCTATATCTGGTGAAAAATTATCAGCACAATCACAATTAGTGCAACCATTCAAAGAAAAATTGATGAAAACAATTACCGAGCTCTTTTGTACCAATAGTGAAGATGATGAAGAAGACGATGTCCCCTTAAGCGTAATTAGAGAACGTTTGCGATCCAATAATGATAATGTCATTAGTGTGTCATTGGATGTTGTTGATTTATTGAAAACAGTGAATCCCTACATTGTTTGTACTCCTGCTGATATTAATTTATGGAACGAATATAAGCAGAAGAATGATGCTGATAAGGAGGAGGATATGGACAGTGAGCATGATGAGAACGATCCCATTGAAGTCAGAAGTGTAGTTACCGACGCGCAAGCTATACAAGTTTTTAACCAAGCTTTAGATTGGGCTGAAAGAAAAGAAGTTTCATACACGGATATTTTAGTTCTTCGTAAATTACGGGCGCAGGCATTGGAAGACAATGCTAAGCGCAAATTTACGCAGACAAAGATTGTTAATTATTTTTCTTCTAATTAAAAAAATACTAATTGCTGTTAGAATATTTGTTTATTTTGTTATAAATTGTATGTATTAAACGTTTTTTTTAATAAATCAATTATTACATAAATCACGTTCGCTAATGTAAACATTTCGATAATGTGAACCACACTTGGATTAAATTAGTTTACATTATCGAGCGTCTGCTGTATTGGGTCAAATAACACTAGCCGAATTTTCAGATCCATGGGCCGCTCCCAGGGACCCCTAAACTCATAAACGTGTTTTATGCTGTGTCCTACATAGCCGTATTTTTTGTAGATTAGTGGTATAGATTCGGGAAAAATATGTTTGAAGTTTATTTTTGAATTTTCGGTTAGGCAATGAGAATTTTGCAAAACTGTAAAAACCACTGTATCATATGTTCAACAATTTTTGACAACATAGACGTAGCATATTATACACTATCTAACCTGTAAGCTCAGCATATGTACAGGGAGATTCACAACTCGTTACCAAAAATGGAACATCATACATAGGACCGCATAATAAACATATATTGTCATTACAAAATCCCCGTTCTATAGGAATCCACTCGTTTCAACACAGGTTTTCTATAAATGTCTGGTGTACGCCAATAGTTTTTTGCCAAATAAAAATTATTTTTGAATTCCCCTTCCAATTTAAAACAAATTGATCTCTCGTGAATTGTTTTCCTCCGATGCGCCATGTTTGAGTAAAAAAATAAAATCCGTTCTATTGTCTAACTTGCAAAATTATTATTAATTTAATAAGGAAAATTAAACACATTAGGGGTAATGAACAACAACAACTGATAACATAAGCATGACATTAAAACCAACGAAATGATTACAAAAATTGTTGAAAATGGCCCCACTTAGTATGCATGTCTCCGCCCTCCTTCTCATGGAATTGCGCGCTCGTTGAAATATCCCTGGAGTGTTTTTTATTCTTTCACACGCTGCAACTATTCTTGCTCTTAATTCCTCTACAGTGTTAATGGGACTTGTGTACACTAGTGTCTTAAGATAGCCCCACAAAAAGAATCTGAGCTGTCCAGGTCTGGGAACTTTGGTGGCCATTCCTGGGGCCCACCGCGGTCAATCCAATGATTTGGATAAACAGTTTGTAAATAATTACGAACCGCTACACTGAAATGCGCTGGTGAGCCATCATGCATGTACCACATAATGTTTTTTATTACTAGCAGCAAAGGCAACTGTTGTTGAAGAAAATTGAGGTAAATCTGTCCGTCCAGTCGTCCCGGCAGGAAGAATGGGCCAATAAGGTGGTTGCCAATAACTCCTGCCCATACGTTAACCGCAAATTGGTGTTGGAAATGGCTTTCGGTTACGGCATAAGAATTTTCTTCTGCCCACAAATGATTATTGTGGAAATTCTGAATTGCATTTCGGGAAAAAGTAGCTTCGTCCGTCAACAGAATCATTGATTCAAATTGCGGATTTTGTGTATTTTTTTAAAGATACCACTAACAAAAGGTCACGCGCCTTGGGAAATCAATGGGAAGTAATGCCTGTACTCTTTAAACGTGCTAACGATATAACAAAAAATTCACTAAAATTCTCCAAACAGTTTGATTGCAAATATTTAAGTGTCTAGCGATCTTCCATGTACTCGTTTCAGGATGTTCTTCGACTTCGTGCAGCACTGCTTCCTCTATTTCAGGTGTTCTCACACTTAGATGTCTACCTTCAGATGTTTCTTGTCGGACAGAACCAGTTTCAACAAGACAACGATGAATATTAGAAAAGGTTCGACTATCTGGAAAAGCACGATCGGGATATCTCTGGTGATAAATTCGTCTGGCGTGCTCACCATTACCGTCGGCAAGGCCATATACGTAATGCATTTCCGCCATTTCTGCGTTTGAATAATTCACCATTATTAACAAGATTGTAAAAACTAAATAATGAAAAAGATTTTACAGCGAACAGATTTGAATAACAGAGACTTTTCTGATGTCAAAAGCCAGTGATATTCCAGAGCAACTAGATATTTATTGCTAAATTGCATTTTTTAATTATTACATTAATTTTCTCGAACAATAGAATTCAAAAATAACGCTGCAAAGGAAAAAATTCAGGAGAGATCATTAGTTTTAAATTGAACGGGAAATTCAAAAATAATTTTGATTTGGCAAAAAACCGTTGTCTTATAATTTTTTTCTTAAAAGATATCGAAGTCAATACTTGTACGCACGCCACTGTGAAAGCTAAAAATTATTTTTGCATTGAAATATATGCAATCTTATTAACTTTCACTACGTACCAAATATCAGTAAGATATCTGAAGCGGTTCTGAAAATATTAATTAGAATAAAACGGGGAAATATGCCGCAACGGGTAATACGCCTCACTTCGCTCATAGTGCACTCCGACGGTTACAGAGGGCACCTACCACATTAATCTGTCGCCATAAATGCAAGCAAGCCCGTTACCTTTGAATGTGTGTTAATTACTTGATTTAGTGTAAGATAGACCCAAAAAACCGGTAAGTACAAACCAAAAATTATTTTTATATGAGATATGATAAGAATTTTTTCAAGTTTTCGTGGTCCGATTTAAATAATCCTTATTGCTAGGCAAAGTAAGATCCATGACCTAACATTTAACACATGTACTGCGTCCTGGATTTACACGGGGTTTGTGCGTTTTAGTTGAAATGTTACTGTTGCGCAGAGGGGCAATAAGCCGCATAAAAGTGACGGTGCGGCATATTACCCCATTTATTTTTTTCATGTGACGGATCCTAATGTGGTGCGTTTTTCTGCTTATTTCAGATTAACACAATGCCACGTTCTTATATTCGAAGAAATATAAGAGTTCAATGGTCAGAAGAAGACCTTCGGAATGCAGTATCTGATATTCATGGAGGTAAAGGATCGGTTCGAGAAATAAGTCGTACTTATAATGTTCCAGTTAGAACCTTAATGAGAAGAATGCGGTCGGAAAACTTAAATAAAGTGGCATTAGGTCGCAAAAGCTTACTCAGTATGGTACAAGAAACAAGTTTAGTCGAATATATACAAAATATGGCATCGCACGGCTTTGCTTTATCTGCTCATGATATAAAAAAGCTTGCATATTCTTTTGCGATCCAACAAAATATTCCACATAATTTTAATACCGAACGAAAAAGGGCAGGTCAAGATTGGTTTCTCACCTTCATGAGACGACATCCTGAACTGGCAGTTCGTAAGGCTCAAGGAATGTCTACTGCCAGAGCCAAAGGCATGACGAGACAAGAATGTACCCAATATTTCGAACTACTAGGAAACGTTTTGACAGAAAATAATTTATTAAATAAGCCTCAAAACATGTTTAATCTCAATGAAACTGGATTGCAGTTAAATAATAATCCAGGCAAAGTTGTAGTAACTAAAGGCACTAAAATGGTAAACTGTATCACGAGTGCTGAAAAGGGAGAAACTATTTCCGTTATAACGCGTGTAAACGCAGAAGGCAGTTTTTTCCCACCCTGCTGTGTATTCAAAGGGAAAAATAAAAAAAAAAGGAATTTGAAGATGGTCTACCACCTGGAGGAAAGGTTGTTATGGGCGAGAAGTCAGCTTATCTCAAATCTGAAATTTTTTTCCAATGGTTTCGTGAATTTTTTGTTCCGCGGAAAGGTGCCTGTAGGGTTCTATTAATTATGGATGGACATTCTTCGCACTGTTCTAATGTCGAACTGTTGGATTTTGCTGTAGCGAATAACGTCATCCTGTTTTGTTTGCCCAGCCACACCACACATTGGCTTCAACAGCTTGATCGCTCATTCTTCAAACCCTTAAAATCTTATTGGGCTCATACTTATCAAAACTGGGTTCATAACAATCCTGGTCGAAAACTGAACCGATTGCAGTTCGCCCATCTTTTCAAAAAGGGACTTCCGATTTCAGAACCTGTGGGATTTACCCTTTTAATCCCGAAAAAATTCCCGATTATGCTTTTACCATTAACGACGAACCATCAGCTGAAGACGAACACAACCCACAAGACATTCTCAGTGAGGAGCAAAACGACCACAGACCAGGTAGTGTCATTGCAGTCAACAACCCCGAAAATAGAAACCCCTTTGAAGCAATTTCACCGGTTCCATGCGTGGAACCAGGACCAAGTGGCTATAGACGAAAACAACATGCCGAAATACTAACTTCGCCAGAAACAATTTGCGCAAAACCAGCAATGGAAGAAGTAAAAAGAACAAAATTAAAACAAAAAGAAGAACGGAAAAAAACGCAAAGTATTGTTGATCTTAGGAAGAAAATGGTAGTTACAAAAAAGGAAACTAAAAAATCACCAAGTCCGAATTCGTCAGACACCGAAACCGAGGTAGTAACCCAAGAAAGCAACGATTCAGAAATCGATACTGATGAGTCAGAATTTTGTGCAGCATGTCATGGGTATTTTTACGATAAAAAAGATCCCAAATGCGACTGGCTCCAATGCGTAACATGTTTGAAATGGGTCCATGAAATATGTGCGCAATCTGACAGATTTTGCGAAGAGTGTACGCCGTTATCCGAAATAGCTACCAAGACAAAATCACATTAAAGGATATTTACCAGTATACCTAAGTATATTAACAGTTACATTATTAGGATTATCTGTATTGTTTTTTACTTTTTGAGTGTTTTCATTGGAAATAAAAGTGTATTTTTGCAATTATCAGCATTTTCTATAAAAAGTTGAATTCCCTAATTTTTACGTTACGAAAACATGTTGCCTTATTACCCAGAGCTAGATGCCATATTACCCAGGTGCGGGTAATATGGCAATAGTGAGTCATTGGACATTTTTGATTATAGTATTTTTGTCGATGGGAATAGGGCAACGAGAGTTTTCACACCGCAAACCTGCATGTGTAAGCTCTAAGGTTCAATAATCTTATTGCGACTAGGTCCGATGGAGGCCAGAATGTGAGCGTTTCAAATTTATGTTGCCATATTTCCCCGCTTTACTCTAATTTCCATTTTGTCCTAAAACTTCAACTCCCCGACTTTTTGTAAGGAAACATTTTTAGACCATGGTTTATGAAGCAAACTAACATTAATTTTGCATGTAGACTCACACACTTCAATATTCGCATATCATTAAGGAACACCCTGTGTAGTACCTTGCCCCCACGTGTATTTTGGAAGGTAGTCTTCCGATTCGTTTTCCGTCTTATTCCGAGTCACCCATGGTAGTTAGACTACTTCGATTAATTAAATTCCTTATACGTATCCGGGGAATTTAATTACAGGATTATGAGCTGAATATAGACACATACACCTAACGAGACCCCCTCTGGCGTCGGCAACGATCGGCTAACCTACGGCTATCCGACCTACCTCCAGGCATCTTAGGGTACCTAGGGAGGTGGATAAAGTGAAATTGACGTTCGGTAGTTGATGCGTGATGTAAAACTACAAGCTTCTGGAAATGAGGTAGTCAATACATGACACCTGGCTTGTCAGTGTTTTCTTTTATGAATTTTTCATTGCCTTTAAGCAGAACAAATACCTATGTTAACATACGTGTTTCTGTATAGTAAAGCAATACTTACCTTGTTTTTAGAGCATTCTTTCGACCTGACATGTGACGTCTTTTTTATAGTGGAGGACGGGCCTTAGGCATCTTAATCACAAAACAGAGCAACAACAAACTTATAACAATAACAATAATCACAGATAGAATACTTTGGCTCTCGAGGAATACATCGAACGGGTGGCAACACGGTGAATAATTAGCATGCCAAGCAAGGCACCTGTCTTATATCTAGCCACCTATCACTCGCTGAAGGCGTGGTCAGCGGGAGGCGTGGTTTTGTTACGATTAATATCCAATTTCCTCGACTACTCTGAGACCGTTTGAAGTAGAAAGCTTATTTTTTTGTTGTGGCTTGTTCTAAAACTTCTCTATGTCCAGTATGAACAGTATCTGAAAAATTGTTTTTCTCCGATAAGAAAAAAATATTTTTGCGAAATAAAAAAACGTAATCTATCAAATGAACCATATGCGACCTTCCTTTATCCGTTTGTAATGCAATCACGAAATCTCATGTCTGTGCTCCTATTTGTTCTGAAGCTATCGCGGCAGAAATATTGACCAAAAAAGGCTGATATTTTGACAAAAAAACAAGAGATTGTCACAAATCAGTCATTTTTACACACAAACCATAATTATACAATATGTATTAATAATGCTGCCCCAATCGCACAGTTGAAAAAAAGGGATGATCGACCTTAAGTCGATGCAACTGTCAGACAGCGCAGTCCTGGACTTGACTGGTTTTAGCACAGTACTATCAGTCCAATACAGCACAGGTACCCCGAGCCCGGACATGGCTTCCTTCTGTGCGAAAGGAGCATTAGAGCCATAGAAGTGCAAAAAATAAAGCCTTATAAGATGTATTTGCTCCAAGAGCACTCAAGGATTATTGAAAGTACAAACAAAAACTTTGAAATCATCCATGTAGCGCAAGGTATATTTTTAAATTTCGAGGCCGATATGTAACAGTTGTTTATGAAGAATGCTTCAAGAAAGAACAACAAATTTACGAGTTCAAAATATCGAATCATGCGCTATGAAAAACTAGCTAATGAAATATTATTTAGATGTATTTACAAATCAACCTTCTATTCACAATGCAGAGCAAAT